GTTTTTCCTAAGGCACAGGAAGAGCTGTCCCCCGGGGGACTACACCTTCATGTGTAAAGGGTGGAGGATAAAGTCACAGTCTGCTTCAGGACCCAGATTGAAAACCACTGAGCTAGCCCACGGTCTCACCTAACAGGTTGGACTTTTGAGTTAGTTTGTTCCCTTAGGCATGATCAGACTCTCCCCTCCTCTACCCCAGGAGTCGTGGTTTGAGAAGGGAGATGAGTTAGATGGCGACCCAGTGTGAATTCCTAAGTGGATTGCCTTCTGTGGCTCTCTGTCCAGTTAGTGAAAGGAGTTGATGCTTTATATGGTGATTGTTGCTGGTGTGTTAGTTCAGTTTCATTGGCATCATCTGACTGTAGTCTTGTATAAATTTATGGTATCTTTTGTAATAAAATCTTAATGTACAGACAGGGCCAGATTAAGACACACTGAGACCCTAAACTATGTCAAGTTTAAGAGGCCCCATAGCATTACCAAAAATGTACATTATTCTAACAGAAAAGACAATGAAAATAGGAATAATTAAATTTTATATCAGCTCATATACTCCTGGTTAACTGTAACAGCTCCCTGTTCCCTGAGAGTTCTGCAGAGGCAGCAGTGTGGAGTAGCTGGGGGCATCCTGGGAGTGGGGTAGCTGCCGACCCCATCTCCTAGGTCATCAAATAATTGTATAACCACTAAGAATTGTTGCAGTTACATGATTACTAAATTAAACGGTTTCTAACTGGTTGATAAGCAAGGATGCAACTAAAACTACTAGTACACTTTTTGTATTTAGAGTCCCCTCATAATCTGAGGCCCTAAAGTGTAAATTACTTAGTTTATGCATAAATCTGACACTGATGACAGGGTTGTAAGACTTTATTTTTTATCAAGTTTCTGATCTACCCACTGCTAAATACTGTAGCACAGCGTTTCCCAAACTATGGGCCGCGGCCGGGAAAAAAATGCTGGGCCTCAGCGTGGCTGCAGGGAGGGGAGCAGGGCAGGCTGGGAGGAGGTGTGGGGGGGCGGGAACCGGCCACCAGGAAGCAGGGTTGGGGCAGTGGGGCTCTCTGGCGGAGATGAGGGGGGAACCGGGCGGGTGGCCGGCGGAAGCAGGACTGGCTGGGGGAGATCGGGATGAGGAGGACGGGAGAACCAGCCTCCTGAAGCAGGGCTGGCCGGGAACAGCAGAGCTGGCCGGGGGAGATTGGGAGGAGAAGCGGGGGAGAATCGGCTGGCTGGTAGGTGGTCAGGAGGAGCAGGGCTGGTCGTGGGAGATCGAGGGGGGGGGGAGACCGGCCGGGGGGAGGAGGGGGGGCGGGGGGGG